CCCCAAAACCCCAAAACCCCAAAACCCCATAAGATCAATATCCCAGCAATCTTAAAATTCAATAATGCAGTACCTTAAAATTATTGTGATAAATAATCAAAATTAAACATTTAGCATGAAAATGATAAGCTAATAAACAATGATATCTCTTTGAATAATCACAATGTTAAATATTTTTACTGTAAAAACAATAAGGAAGGACTTATTCAAGTAGAAATTGACAAGGAAAGTTAATCATCTTAGAGGGCTACATCTTTTCACAAGTAAAAATCTGTACAAGTTTTAAAAGTAATGACATTTAAAGACTAACACTATCAGTCTCATAATATGGAAATGCCAAATATGGATAGAATTGACAGATAGGCATCGAATAAAGGACACTTTGAGAAACTTTTAAATAGCAATACCCTTAGCAATCTCTCTTGAGGATAGACAATTTCTAAGCAAGACACAACGAAAATAAGAGATAGATTAATGAGTTAGTCCTAAGGTGGATCAAGAGGAAGATTTTCAAGCGAGGATTATTAGCAAGTGGCTTGCACTATTCTGATTAAAATAATATAAAGTATGTTAAATTAGGAAGTTACACCAAGAGAGTTATTACAAGAAAAACTATATAACTACGACACCAAGAGTGTAAGCACAATAGGAAGTGAATATATTTTGATCGATAATTTTTTCATTATCATAACGCAGAAGTTTTTTAGTATTGCTAACGATGAAAAGGATAGATTAAGAAAGTTTTAGCAAAAATATATTAAGGGCAATACACAATTTTAGATTACAATGACTTGGAGTAAAATTTATATTGTCTTGAATCAGGCACTTCTTATACTTATATACAAGGAAAAATAAATCTAAACATGCTGGATAACAAAGTTTATAGAGTATTCAATCGAATACATCAAAAAGTATTATAATAGAGAATATGAAGATATATCAATGAATTAAGTCCAAAGATATCGTAGATTACTAGGAAAATGAAAGTAATTTGAGTAATTGATTAGGGAAATTTTATGAAATTTCTAAGAGAAAAGGTTATTAGAAAGTCTGCTTCAATTATGATAAATTTTTTGAAGACTTATTTAAAATAAGAAAGCGAGGGCCTATAATGATAAGCATTGACTAACTTAAGAATTGTCTTGAGATGTGCAAGATCAGCAAATTCGTACAATTACTAAGTACTAAAAAGAGACATCCACCCACCTAAAAATCATAATCTTTAAGCAATGTACTAATTGAATGGAGTTATTTGAGAAGAAGGAGAAGATGTGAAGACAAATTCTTTCACTTCTGACAGGTCACTCGAGAATCAATAATGAATTGAAAAATCTAAATTTTATTTACCAATTTAACACCATTTAAGATTTATTTTAAAAGATATAATTTTTTTGATACTTTTTTTAAGTTTTAATAAATTACAAACTAAGCATAAATCAATAATAATACTTATATTGATCACATAAACAATCAGGCTTGAGCAGAAATTTTAAATTTTTCATCTCTTTCTTGCTAATATTTTTCTTCCCTCCTAATGTTAAAATTCATCTCTCTTAATCATACTGATAATAGCCTATATAAAAACATAAATAAGGAATTAAGTAGCTTACATAATCTATTGCTTTACCGTTTTCATATTTTTGCATCATTTCTTAATGCAATTTTGGATATGAAATTTTAGTACCTATTGCAACTCTTCTTTTAATTGCCTCCTCAATCTTTCTTACCATTGGCATCATTTCTATTGGAGTTTCAACTGTTTTTGCAGCCATACCACTTTAGGCTGCATTTAAAGTTGAGATCTTAAATAATCTATGAGCTTCTTCAACATGCTACAACTAAACGACTGTTTGTAAATGAATTCTAGCTATTGATTCTGATAGACGAATGATAGCTTCCAATTATCTAACAGTGATTGGAATACCACTGCTTTTTTTGGAAATTTTTTGATCTTTGGATTACATTCTATCTGAGACATAGAGATCCTATAACATATGTCCAGCCTCTTCTGAAAGTCTTGGAAATACCTTCATTTTAGCATATGTTATATATTTTCTTAGTAGTTCTAGACTGATATCTGAGCCATTGTCATCATTTTAATTATTTTTTCCAAAAGTATGAAGATTAACAACATGAGATGCAATAGCTTTATCAGCTCCCTCTTCTCTGATATCCCTAACAATGAAAATGCAGTCAAATCTAGACAGAATTGAACTCTAGAAATCAATTTGTTCTGCTGCATGCTTTAAATCATCATATCTTCCAAATACTGGGTTCGCTGCTGCAAGAACAGAAGTTCTTGAATTTAAGATTGTAGTAATTCCAGCCTTTGCAATACTGATAGTTTATTGCTCCATAGCTTCATGAATTGCTACTCTATCTTGGGGTCTCATTTTGTCGAACTCATCAATGCATACAACACCTCCATCAGCAAGAACCATTGCACCACCTTCAAGTTAAAATTCTCCATTAGCGTCCTTTAAGACTGATGCTGTTAGACCTGCAGCTGATGAACCCTTACCACTTGTATAAACTGAGATAGGGGCAACTCTCTCTACAAACTTTAAGAATTGAGACTTAGCAGTAGAAGGATCACCTAACAATAGTACATTGATATCTCCTCTTAATCTCATTCCATCTGGTAGTCTCTTTGGAGAACCTCCAAATAAAAGACAAGCGACAGCTTTCTTAATATCTCTATGACCAAAAATAGCAGATGCAATACTCCTTGAAATTTTTTCAAAGATCTCTGGATCTTTAGACATATTAATAATCTTTTCTTCATCATCTTGAGAAATGTTTGGTAAAGCGAATCCAGTTGTATTAACTCCATCTTTATTCACTTCAGACATAATTCCAAGAACTCTCAAATAACTGATTTGTACATGATTCTTAATTTGTTTGTTGGCATTTGATCCAGCTCCTTTATTAAGAATACTTAGAATACCAACAATCTTTACTCTATTGCCTGGAGTTACCTTATCAGCTAAGTATCTATCACAAGTGAGGTTGAATGTTCTTGGCATTTCTCCTGTCGGAACAAGTTCTGGCGCCTCTTGAAGTTTCAAATTTTATTGATCGATATAATCGCATTTCTCCGAAACGATAGTATAAGAGTCTAATTTACATTGCTGTTTATCTAGCCCTGGGTTTCTTTGGTTGTCACAAACTCTAGGATAGTTAATTGATCCATAACCTCCACCAGTCTTACATTCCTTAATATGACCACAGTTTTTACATTTATATGTCACTGAAGTTGCTTTAATTTGTGTTCTACTTGCATTAGTGATAATTCCTGGAACAACAACTAGTTTTCCTATTAAATGACTCTATAAATCCCTTAGCATTCTGGGCTATTCTAAACTGTGGATTTAGACTTAAAACTTAGGTACTGGCTCTCCTTCAGTAAAGTTTTAGTGAAAGTAGTTGTTTCTGTAGACCTATTGTACTGCACTTTCAAACTATAATTTGAAATTTATAAAGTAGCAAAAAACTTACGACTGGCATTACAGTAGCGGGATGATTTCTCATCATTTGACTCAGTTCATCATCGAAATTGTTCAAATCATCAATGTTTATTCTTAGGAAATGCTATCCCTTGTTTGCATTATTTTGAAGCTATTCTCTATGAAAAGATGAATTACATTTGATTTTACCTGTAAATATAAGTTGATTTCTCTTGAGTTTATAGAATAAAATGCTGAAATTTGAGTTCAGCTTAGTCTAATGTAATGGGAAGATCTTGATCTTAGAAATTAAATTTGTTCTAATTAGAATCAACAAGTTGCTGATCAGTGTAGTAAACTGCCTATCCTTCAAAGCTCATTTGCGGTACTTTTAATTAACTATTATAATATTGCGCAAAAATTTATATTTCTTTCGATCATATTTTGTTTTAATGCAAAAAACATACTTGCGGGGTTTTGGGGTTTTGGGGTTTTGGGG